TTTTTAAAAAAGATTTTATTTGTTTGAGAGAGAGAGAGAGTGAGTGAGACAGAGAGTGTGCGTAAGTTGGGGAGGGGGAGAGCAGAGGGAGAGGGAAAAGCAGACTCCCCACTGAGCAAGGAGCCTGATCTGAAGCTCCATCCCAGGACCCTGGGATTGTGACCTGAGCTAAAGGCAGACGCTTAACTGACTGAGATACTAGGCATCCCTCTTAACAAAAAGTGCAATCCAACAATGTATTTTGCAGGTTAATATACCATGATCAAGTGTCCAGTGAAAAAGAGACTAAGTGGAGAGGCAGGCAAGTGAGCTGGAAGGAGAACACCAGGGGGGCATGGGTCTGGGTGCCAGAAGGGTGTGGGTCTGGTTCCTGTTCCATGTGGGCCACTTCCCAGCTGTTGGCCTCAGTGGAATGGTGATAATCATGATCATGACCATGATGATGACCACAACTTCTCCCATCCCTCGACCACATACTATGTTCCTGGTATCAGATGCTTAAATACTTCATCTCATTTAGTCCTTAGACAAACATGTGAAGTTCATATTATTATCCAAATTTTACAGCTTAAGAAAAGGAGGCTTCAAAATGTGAAATAATTTGCCTGAGTTATGAGTAGGGCCCAGACTGGGATTTGAACCACAATCAGAATTGAATGAAACAGAGACTAAGTAGTTGGCACAGTCCTGCTTGGCACAGTTGACAAGCTCCCTTACCTGCTTAGTCATTTATGGATGTGTAGTCCCCTCTGGGATGTTAAATATCTGCTTTAGACTCCACGGATCCCAGATTCAAAAGATCCATCCACTTTTATAGAGGAAGGAAATGACCATTACACAAGCACAGTCCCATCCCTCTTGTTTGAGAAGTGTGACGTGGGCACAGGCCTCCACTCTGCAGGCAGGCATCTGGTCTCTTGTCCCTGCTACAGGGTGTCTTCCAAATGGAAGTCTTTCCAAGAAAGACTGTACACCTGTGCTGGCCTTTGACCACCTGGATCCTCCTTCCAGCCACTGAGTGGCTTAGTGGTTAAGCGTCTGCTCAGCCCATCATGATCCAGGGGTCCTGGAATCGAGTCCCACATCGGGCTCCCTGCATGGAGCCTGCTTCTCCCTCCGCCTATATCTCTCTCTACCTCTCTCTGTGTCTCTCATGAATAAATAAATGAAAACTTTTTAAAAACTTCAGACCAAATTTATCTTCTGGGAGGCAAGAACAAGCACATAATTCTCTTAAATTCCTGACTACCAAATGGCTCAACTGACCTTGTTGTGAGGACTAATTATATTATGTGTAGTGCTCAGTGTTCCATCTGATAGAAGTGTTCAGGAGTAGGCTGTTATTGCTACAGCAATAGGTTTGATGGCATTTATGCCACAATGAGGTCTGTGGCCATGGATAATGGCAGTTATAAGGACACTAGTATTAGCAACATTAATGCTATCCATCTCCAAGCCTTAGGCATGCGGCCATGGACAAGATGCTTGAGAAATGAAGATGCACACGTGTGCTTCGGAAGGAAATAAAGCACGTCTTACTAGTACCATCACTGTGTCACACAGAGACATGGCAACTCAGTTGTGAGACTCCTCCCTCATCTCGAGTCTCAGTGGGAAGAAGTTTCAGCCCCCAGTGGAAACTTAAGAAGGATGCCCAGCTCATTGGCCCCAGGGGCCAAGCCCAAAGTGTCTTGTGGCATTGAAGTCCCTGGCCGAGGGGATCTGTGCTGCATTTACCAGCATGGGCAGAGAATCCTAAGGGCTTCTCAGGGATCAGAAATCCTCTCTCTGACCCCTTCTGATACGAAGAGGACCTCTGCGTCTGCCAGCTGGAAGCCCCTCCTCCAGGGATGCTCTGCATCCAAAGCACTTAAGAGAAGCACATGTCACCCCTGCAGGGCCACCATGCTAAGACAAAGGGGTGAACATTCTGCGCTGTATGAGACCAAGAAAAAGCTGGTTGTTAGTCCCACAAGAGGGAAGGAAGCTACTCAAGCAGAAGAACAGGGTGCTGGTCATTTGTGCGTGGGACTGAGGGAGGGGATGGGGGAAGTTTCCTTCCCTGGGCACCTCCAAGAATGACAAAGCAGCTCAGTCTTCTCTGCCCCACTCATGGGGAAGGAAGTAGGGAATCCTGCCCTCACTGAAGAGGAGGATGATCTCCGGTGCACTTTCTAGACTTGCACAGGTCCCTCTCAAGAGCTCCCTACCAGTCCCATGCCTAGAATAGGTGCTGGATCCCCTGAAAAGGCATCCTCTTTCCTTTTCTGTACCCAAAGAGCAGAGGCTGGGAAGCAACAGGGAAGTGTTGGCAAGTGGAGAAAGGAGAGAGGAAATGAATATGGCATTTTCCTAGCCCAAGGGCTTGATCTAATTGTTTCCTGGGTGCTTCAAGAGAGGGAGTAGGCACAGCGGTTAGAGCCAGTGGGTTATGTAGCCAGAGACTCAGCACTGGAACAGGTGCCCAAAGCAGTCTGCCAGTCCCCGCTAGATAACGTGGAGAGACCTAAGAGGCAAAGCCTCTGCCTACAGCCTGATGGGAAGACTATACACAAAATATATAGGGTTGAGTAAGGAGGAGGAAATTCCAAGCTGAGCTTGGAGTTCTGTGGGATGTGGAGAAGCAGGAGGGGTTACGGAGGGAATTCCCGCAGATAAACCGCTCAAGGGAAGGACAGTGCAGATTCGCATGGCAGGTATGGCTGATACTTGAAAGATCTCAAGTTAGGGTGCACTCAGGAGGACACCCTAACTGCCCAGACTATGATCGTTTTGCTGGCCATGCTGTTAATATCGGGGCTCAGAAGTCTCAGTGAGGTACTGGTGAATCGCAGACTGCAAAACTGGTTAGAACTGGATCGGGTGGGGGCCTTAAATTACAGTCTAAGGAGGCATGAGAAGGGATATGACAGATGAAACAGTACTAGTGGCCGATTGGTGGGCTGGGAAGGAGACCACTAAGAAGCCCCTGAAAAAGCCCAGTCTGGGGTGTGGACAGATGGAAAGAAAGATGTGATCTCCTCCTCCACTGCAGCCCTCATCATCCTGGCTTTGGGGTTGGCTGCTGGCACTGCTGACCAGTCCTTATCTCTTGAAAATTTCCCCTCAATGTCTAAGACTCTGAGCTTCCTTAGTTCTCTTTGCTTCACAAACAGTCCTGATCTAGGACCTCTTTCTTCTTCATCCAATTGCTGATGTTCCCTAACGCTCTGCACAAAAATATCACACCATTTTCTTTTGCCCCCAAAGCCTCAAATGATCTTTCCATTTTCCAGATCCCCACCAGCACCCCGTGGCAATGAGTCCTCACAATCGTGTTTTCAACCCTGTCCTCCAGAGCCCCAGATGCTTGAAAATGCCAGGACAGCTCCTCTGTCCTCCCTCTACCCCTCCTGCCACTCAGCTGCCCATTATCTAAATCCCTAGACCCTTCTTGGAGCACTAGCAACAGACCAGGTATACTTCACACGGTCTCCACTATTAGAGGAAGGATTATGGGTGAAGAACATGGGACTCCGAGAGGCTAAGGGACTTAGGAGCAGATAAAGAGGCTACAAGACTCAGGTGTGTTGACACCAAGTGTGTGCTCCATGTTTTCTCCCCTGCTCTGGTCTCACACCCCAGCTTCCAGAAGGAGTCTTTTGCTGATGCAGTCCTGTTCAGCTGACTGCCCAGCTCAGCCTTCCTCTTGGTGCCCATGGCACTGATGGGATCACGGATCATCAGCCTGGTGTATTCCCGGTATCAAAGAATAGCAAAGTGGGCAAGTCCAACAGCCGCGCTTAAACATGGGGCTGTGAAGTTCTCGGAGGGGTTACCCAAGATCATACAGCAAATCAGGGACAGAGTTAGGACCAGCCCTTTGCTCTTCTGATTTCCAGACTCATTTCTCTTATACTTTTTTTGTGATGTGTTTTATATTTTGCCAAATGTCTTTTTTTTTAAAAAAAGATTTTATTTATTTATGAGAGACACACAAAGAGAGGCAGAGACATAGAGGGAGAAGCAGACTCCTCAAAGGAGCCTGATGCGGGACTTGATCCCTGGACTGGGATTGTGCTCTGAGCCAAAGGCAGAGGCTCATCCATTGAGCCACCCAGGTGTCCCCATATTTTGTCAAATCTTGGCATACAGACTCTCATATGCTCCTTGCCATTGCTCTGTATCATGGATGTTTCCTTTCTAACAGATGTGATGACTGAGGCCCACAGAAGCAAAGGGACTTTCCCAAGATCACACAGCTAGGTAAGTGAGAACCATGGGACATTTAGAAAGAGCTGAATTTAAAAATGTGGCATGGGATAGTAATGGTAAGGATTCAGCAGAAAATCCCACACGTGTCCAAGCACAGAAGACACAGGGGGACCTGGAAGTAGCAAGTCAGGAGCCAGATTCATGCTCCTGGTAGCTCAGGGCTGTGAGGTCTCTTCTCTGCTGCCCTGTGTGTCTGATCTTTATCATTTCTGCAAGGCCTCCACTTTTCTTCCCTATTGCACCAGCTTCTCTGTGACTTTAGTTATCACCACACTGACTCCAGGTCATTGGTACCTCAGGCACCCACACGCCACTGACATAGACATTGACAGTGTCACCATTTTGAATTCTCAGCAGAGAATTGTCCTCCAGACTGGGGCAGGTGTACACCCTTGGTACAATTCAGCAGTGGCCAGGTGTTGGCTTGGTCCCCTGCTGCCAATGTGGTTACCTAATGCCTCGCCTTCTATGGGTGAGCTAGGTTTCCAGAGAAGGACCTGTGGGTAGCCAGGCATCCTATATTCTATTATATGTATGAATCCAGATCTCCTGATTTATTTCCCAGTGCCACAGCTGCCCTCTCTGTCTTTCCCTTTGCATCCCACTCAACAAAGGTTTGATGGAATTGGTGCAGGCTACCGTGCAAGGTGCTATGTGCGTGACTCAGCTTCTGTCACCTCTGACCTCCCTCCCGTAAGGCCAAGGACAGAACAGGAAGTACTTGTCTCCTTGATAGGCAGACCACCATGCAGAGCCTTGGCAAGGAGAACCACAGCTCTGTGTTTGAGTTCATCCTCCTGGGCTTCTCCAGTGACTCACATGTCAGAATATCCCTGTTCTCCTTCTTCCTTCTCCTCTACCTCATCACTCTTCTGGGAAATGGACTCATTGTGACCTTGATCTACCTGGACTCACACCTCCACACGCCCATGTACTACTTTCTCAGTGTCCTCTCTTTGGTGGACATGAGTTATGTCACTACCACCATGCCCCAGATGTTGATTAATATGGTGTGTCCAAAGAAAACCATCTCTTGGGGAGCTTGTGTAGCCCAGATGTTTATCTTCTTGGTCTTGGGCATTGCTGAGTGCGTCCTCTATGCCATTATGGCCTATGACAGGTATGTGGCCATTTGCTTTCCCCTTCATTATCCCCTTCTCATGAGCCGCCCCATTTGTATCAAGATGGTCATAGGTTGTTGGACCATTAGCATAGCTGGCGCCCTGATCTATACTGTCTTCACCATGCATCTGCCTTATTGTGGTCCCCACAAGATAAACCACTTCTTCTGTGAGGTCCCTGCCGTCTTGAAGTTGGCCTGTGCAGATACATCTTTCAATGACCGCTTGGACTTCATCTTGGGATTCATCCTACTCTTGGTCCCATTCTCCCTCATCCTGGCCTCCTATGTCCGAATCTTTGCCTCCATCTTAAGAATCCACTCATCCCAAGGGAGGCTCAAGTCTTTCTCCACATGTGCTTCCCACATCACTGTGGTTATCATGTTCTATGGGCCAGCCATGATCATGTACATGAGGCCTGGCTCCTGGTATGACCCAGAGCAGGACAAGAAGCTAGCACTGTTCTACAATGTTGTCTCTGCCTTCCTCAACCCCATCATCTACAGCCTCCGGAACAAAGATGTAAAAGAGGCCTTTCTGAATGTACTCGGTAACAGAAGGACAGCTCAGTGACCCAGGATGCTTCAGACTTGTCGAGAGTCTTGGTGGGGTTCATTTGGTATCATATATCAGTTCTAACCAACCTGAGCCTTTCTGGGGTGTGAGCAACCAAGTTAGAGATGGCTCTGTGGCTACCCCTAAACTGAAAGTCTCTATTGGCTGCCACCAACCCAATGACTCAGTTGAGTGTCAAGAGCAAAGACTTTCTTCCCCAGTAAGTATGTCATGGTTCAAGGCCATTGCTTTATTGCTTTTCTTGGTTCTCTCCTCACCTCTGGAAGTTTGTCAGGTCAGTCTGATCACAGCAAATGTGTCAATATGCACACATGTTTTTTTTTTCTACAGTGTGAGGGATTTGGGGGTGAAAATGATATAAATAGTAGGTAGGTCATGCAGTAAACAGTCTTTACATGTGCTTACAAGTAAGAATTAGCATTGCTTTTTGCTCCAGGAGCTATAAATTCCAAGCTAGAACTATTTTAGACACATCTATGTAACCATGTGGCTAACAATGGATTTGGTTTGGACTCAGCTTGAGATACTAACTCTCCCCTGATTTTGCTACTTAAATCTCACATTTATTTTGAGAAAATAAATACTATATATATTCATAAATAAAAAGAGATGTATATGTATATATCTGTATGCCCTTATCTATCTCTATATATAGAGAAAGACAGGGAAAGAAAGACAGAGACAGGTACTCACAGAGAGAAATAATACAAAGATCTGATTTTTCCATTTCCCCAGATAAACACTTGTTAATATTTTACCATATTTGGTCTGAACCTTTTGTTCTTTTTTTTAAAAAAGGATTAAATAATTACTGATACCATTGAAGTGCCCTTTGAATATTCCCAGCTCCTCTGAATCAATCACTACTATTAAACTGAAGTCTATTCTGTGTGGTTTTAAACTTTCACTTACAATCATACCCATAAGCAACACGAGAATTGTTCTTATGGGTTTGAAAGTTTATAATGGTAGCATGATGTCTGCATTATTCTGAAAAAATTGCAACTCAACATCATGTTTTTGACATCTACTCATTTGATATACACAAGCCTAACACATTCTCTGTAGTGAGCATTTGAATACACCACACCTCATTTATCTCTTATTTTTTTTAAAAAAAGATTTTATTTTTTATGAGAGAGAGAGAGAGAGAGAGAGAGAGAGAGAGAGAGAGAGAGAGGCAGAGACACAGGCAGAGGGAGAAGCAGGCTCCATGCAGGGAGCCCGATATGGGACTCGACCCCAGGACTCCAGGATCACACCCTGAGCCGAAGGCAGGCACTACACTTCTGAGCCACCCAGGGATATCCTCTTTTTTTTTTTTTTTTTAAAGAGAGACAGTGCCTGTACAAGTGGGAGGGGGGAAGGGGCAGAAGGAGAGGGAGAGAGAGAATCTTTATTTTCTTTTGTTTTGGTTTTGTTTATAGAAAGGGAGCTGGAGAAGGGCAGAGGAAGAGAGAAAGAATCTCCAGCAAACTCCCCACTGAGCACAGAGTCTGATATGGGGTTCAATCCCAGGCCCTGAGATCATGACCTGAGCCAAAATCAAGAATGAAGGCTTAACCAACTGAGCCACCCAAACACCCCATAAAGTTGCTTTCTTTGCCCAAATTTTTTACTTTTTTTAAAAAAGTAGGCTCCTCGCCCAGCAGGGAGCCCAGTGTAGGGCTTGAACTCATAACCCACCTGAGCTGGATCAAGAGTCAGATGTTTACCAGACTGAGTCACCCAAGTGCCCTTCATTCACAATTCTTTATTGTCAAACATTTATTTACAATTTTCACTATTTAAATGATTATGCAACAAATGTCTTTGAACATTTCTCCTCATAGAAGGGTTTTTTCCCCCCTAGGATTTATGTGTAGCAATAGACTTGGCGGGTGCAGAATCAAAGAAATTTCATATTTACTAGGTACTCCTAAATTGTTCTTCCAAGTAATTATGCTGATATACCCCTCTAGTTCTCATCAACACTTGACATTATTTCTCTATCTCAAGCATTCTAAAATTGCTATCTATCTCATAAATAGATTTTTGTCTCATCTGTAATTCCCTGATTGCTAGTGAATTTAGCATTTTTTCATAAGATTCTTGTAGTATTGTGTAGTGAACTAGGCTCAGAAGCCAGTCTCCTTTGTTCTAATCCCAGCCCTACCTTTTACTAACTCAGTGATAACGGTCAAGGTACATAACTTCTCTGAGTCTCAGTTTCCTTATCTGTTAACAAAAAGAAAATAGCATAGACCTCAGGAGGTTGTTGGAAGGACTACATGAGATAATACATGGAAAGCATTTGTTGTAGTGAAAAACAAACTGTAAATGTCCAATGAATAGAGATACCGTTTGCTTTTTATTTTCTTGATTTGCCATTTATTATATATTTTGGATCTTCTTTGTTTATTACATATATTGAGAATATCTTCTCTCAGTTTATTGCCTGTTTTCTTTATTGCAAAAGTAGTATATGTTTATTCTTAAACTTTTAGAACACAGATGCAAACAAAAAGAAGAAAATGAAAATTATCCATCACCTTAGACTTGGAGATAATTACTGCTAACAATTTCAGCATCTACATTTTAGGGTTTAAAAGATTTTAAAATTGTTTTTATTAATATTTTAAAAGAAAAACAACACAATTATTAAACTATTATGTGTTTTTATGATTTCTTAAATGTTTTAAGTACTCAATTTTTTAAGTCAGATTATCACTTTATTTTTTAGTAGAGTTGACACACAATGTAGTTTCAAGTGTTCAACATAGTGATTCAGATCTCAATACATTATGCTATGCTCACCACAAGTGTAGTTACCACCTGTCACCATACAATGCTTTTATAATATGATTGACTATATTCTCTGTGCTGTGACTTTTATTCTCATGACTTATTCAGTCCATAAGTGGATGCTTGTATCTCCCACTCTCCTTCAGCCATTTTGACCATCTTCTTACCTCCCTACCCCCTGGCAACCATCAGTTTGTTCTCTTTATTTATAGATCTGATTCTACTTTTTCTTTGTTTATTCTTTTTTTCTAGATTCCAAATTTGAGTGAATCATATGGCATTTGTCTTTCTCAGTCTGACCTATTTCACTTAGTATAATACCCTCTAGGTGGTCCTTCTGTGAAGCCACAAATGGCAAGAGTTCATCTTTTTTTATGGCTATGTAATGATTTTTTAAAAAGGGATTATTTATTTATTCATGAGAGACACACACACAGAGAGGCAGAGACACAGGCAGAGGGAGAATCAGGCTCCATGCAGAGAGCCCAATGTGGGACTTGATCCCAGGACTCCAGGATCACGTCCTGGGCTGAAGGCAGGCACCAAACCACTGGGATTCCCTATGTAATGATTTTTAAATTGAATTGTACAATATGTATTCTTCTGTTACTTGACTTATTCACTCAATAATGGGTTTTGACATTTATTGTGTTGATTTGTTTTTGCTGCTAGAGAGTATTCTTTTCTTTTGATGAATAGAATAATCACTTTCAATAAATAGAATTTTTAATAAACTTATGAATCTTTTCCTTTATGGTTTTTCTTAAATGAACATGTGTCAAAGGTTTCACTGAGCTCATTAATTCATGAAGGAACCAGTAAGATGTTAGGATTGGTTCAAAGGAGAATTTGACTTACAGAAATTTATATTCTCTGTCAGACAAATTTCATTTGTGTTTATATGAATAGGAATTATTTGCATTATCATAGACAGAAATCATTTGTCTTGCTACCAGTTTTCTAGAACTTAACAGTTTTACCTGCAGAGATATAATATATCCAAGGTCATAGAAAGTCAGTTAAAATAGTACATCCTTATAAAGTCAGATAATCCTCAGAGGGTCTGCTAGACAACATCTAGCACTGTACCAAGAGGGCACTGAGAAATCTTAGAAATCTTCTTACAATATCCACCCTTGTAATCTTAAATAATCTTCAAAAATTATTCTTGATTTAAAAAAAACTGGTCTCATTATGTCTGGCCTCACTGTTTGTATCAGTGTAGTAGGAGTGTTTGTCATATGGACCATCTCTGGTTTTCTTTGCAAATCTAGAGACACGCAGTATTGAGTCATTTTGAAAGCCACAGAATTAACTTCTGCCTGGAAGTTTCCATATGGAATCTCAAGTTGGACTTTTTAAATGCTCTATTATTTATTATACTGAGCTGGAAAACCAATCCCAAGAAATCCTGTCCTTCATATTTTTTTCTTTTTAAGGATTTTATTTATTTATTCATGAAAGATATACAGAGAGAGTCAGAGACACAGGCAGAGGGAGAGGCAGGCTTCCCACGTGGAGCCCTATGTAGAACTTGATCCCAGGACCCTGGGATTGTCACCTGAACCAAAGGCAGATGCTCAACACCTGAGCCACCCAGGCATCCCTCTGTCCTTCATATTTTACCTACAGTACCCATAAATTTGGGTGAATTCCTCATCTATCAAGGCTCCAAAATTTACTTAACTTTTCCTGCTGGCCAGTGGGTGATATTTCTTACCATCTATAAGGCTGGGACCTTGTAAGCTAAATACTAGGTCACTTTTTCCAGGAAAGCTTTGTAGAGATTGAATTTACAAGTAAAGTCAACTCAACCCTTGCTACTTAATAATATTCAGCATGCCTGATTAAAAGGTATTAACTCTCGAATATAGTCTCTGTGAAACAATCAAGTTGACCAAGTATATCCCAGTTAGATAAAAGACATAATTATTGAATGTGTGCTAATAAACGAAGAGACTAATTTAAGTGGTAAGTTAGTAACAATCAGGTGTCAGTTAAAAATGTTTCACTCCAATTCCAGAAAACCTGGCTCTACTAAATCGAGTATTAGAGGCAGCTTCAGAGGAAAGAGAAAGGACTTTCTCCTAACTCCAAAAAACCCAGAATATGAAAAAAAAAATAGCAACAATGATCCAAACAAATAACCTCATTGGTTGATTCACCTCTATGGGAGTACTCTTGCTTTGCTGAATCTTGGGCTAGCCACGCCT